CAGGTATGTGTAGGCTGTGTCAAGTTGATAATTCTGTCTCAAAACCCACAAAAACAACCAAAACCAAACAACAACAAACCTAGCCTGCCAGTTTGCATGTATGTGTATATTCACCCATAAATCTAGAATCATGGTTGGAATTGTTCCAGATATATATTCTGTTTGTGGAGAATTTACATCTTACAATGTTGAATTTTCCTATCTATCTATGAATAAGATAGAACTTTCTATTTCTTTAGATCATCTTTGTTCCAGTAACATTTTACAATTTCTATGTTTTAGTTTTAATTTACTAAATTTATTGCTAGGTATAATTTTCGTTTACTTAAAGGTGTCAGGAATTGAGCCCAGGACCGGGCACATGCTAACCTGGTACTTTCCCACTTAGTTACAATCCCTAGGTATTGATTTATTTTATTTCTTGGTCTTTTTGAGACAGAGTCTTTTAATAACTCAAACTGACCTGGAACTCACTATGTAGCCCAGGCTGGCCTTGATCCCACATAGAGCTGCCTGCCTCTGCCTCCCAAATGCTGGGATTAAAAGGTTTGCACCACCACTCCTTGCACCAGGTATTGGTTTTTTAAGTGCTGTTATAAATTGTGATATTTCAAAAATTATTCTGTAGTTATTTATTGCTAGGGTACAGAAATATTGATTTTTTTTTCAGATATATTTATATTGAATCCACCAACTCCCTTAATTCATTTATGGCAGATATCTTATTCCCAACCTCAGAACCAGAGTTTTCAACATTTTACTACTAGTAGTGTCATTTGCTATATTTCTGGTGGTTTTATCACACCAAAGAAGTGTCTTCCTATTCTTAGTTCACTAAAAGCTTATTATAAAGGTATTTTGAACATATAATGAGGTGAACCACATTGCTTAATATTTGAATTAGTGAAAGTCAATGTTGCATTTCCGACATAAGCCTAACTTGGTCACAATATTTAATCTGATTGGATAATTGATCATTATGTTTTTAACTTATGCTCATAAGAGACATTGATCTATGGCTTCCTTTCTTGTGACATCTTCAGCAGACTTTGTTATCAAAGGTAATACTGGGAATATAAAAAGTTGAAATATGGTTTCCCATTCATCTGGTTTGGCGGGGTTGTTGATAAAATTCTTGCCAGGATATTTTTTGTTGAAAAGTTTTTAATTACAGATTCAATTCCTTAAATTGATAGGATGCTCTTGATTTTCCATTTCTTCTTTTACTGGTCTTGATAGGTTATGGTTTTCTTTCACCTAAATTTTTTCAGAGCTTTGACATGAAGGTGATTGGTTTCTAGTATGATGTGTGTGTGTCATGGCATGAGTGTGGAGGTCAGAGGACAGCTTGTGAGAGTTTGTTCTTACCACCATATGGAACCTAACCTTTGACTTTGTCAAGTCTCTCTCTTGAATGCTAATTTCTGCTTGATGTCTTCATTGATACATTGAATTATTTAGAACTCAGCTGATTGACTTATAACATTGAGCTCCCCCAGATGTGTTTGGTATTGATTTCCCAAATAATTCCACAGTAGTCAGTTAACATAGTCCACATCAGTTCTGCTTAAGCATTCAGTGGTATAGGACTTGTTTTTGTTTTGATTTTCCCCTTAATTGCTGGTGATTTTTCTTTAAAAAAAATTTTTAATGAACTTACTGGAAAATGGAAGTACATATAACTGATCTATAATATTTTCTAAACATTCTCAATTTTTAAGTCTGCCTGGTCATTGTTAACAGAACACAGTTCAAGTCCCATTGCTTGTGATTTTCATTTTTGAAATGTGCTGAAATTTGCTTTATTGGCACATGGTGAATTTTGGTAAGTGTTCTAAATGTAGTATAAAAGAAAGCTCTGTCCTGCATTTGAAGGGGGAAGTGTGTTGCATACATCAGATCAAGTTTGTTCATTGTGGTATTTGTTTTGTTGTTCTTTCTCTAATTGTTCAATGAATTATTGAGAGAAATGTATTAAGCCTCCCAGTGTTATGGGTCATTCATTTTTCCTTTTGAGTTCTTTCAGTATAGTGCTATATTAGGCATATACAATTTATTTTTACTTTAATTTTATTTTATTTTTTGGTCTTTTTTGAGATAGGATCTACCTGTAGCCCCAGCTGGCCTTATCTCATAATACTTATTATGTAGAACAGGCTGTCCTCAATCTCACAGAGATCCACCAGCCTCTGCCTCCCAAGTGCTGGGACCAAAGGCCTGTGCCACTACACCACTCTTATCATTTTTCATTTTCGCTTTATTCATTTTGCCTTAATGTAGTTTGCAACTGATAGTTAGCACTGCAATCCTAACTTTATTTTTATTACATCTTTATATCATTTGAAAACAAAGTCTTTGTAACTAACATGGAGTTGGCTAACTTTTTGTAAATTAGCCATATTCAGATAATTTTTCTAGAATACAGATATATTACATCTATTTATGTCCACAGTTTGATGAGTTTGGGCAAATTCTTCCACCTATGCAGTGTGGTAGTAAGTCATAGACCACATCCATCCACTGTGAAGGTCCAGCCCTTAGTGCTTCCCACTACCAATCCTCTGCAGCTTGGGAAGTCATGGTGCTGCTCTCCATCACATGGAGCAGGCATGTCTCTCCTAGAACATGATACAGTGGAGCTGTATCTTGGTGTCTAGCTTCTGTACCATAAAAGCAGATCATACTGTTAGGCTTATGTGGTGCATGTTCCCTGTCTCAAATACCTGTAATAAGGAACTGGCTGACTTAGTAACTTTCCAGTGCTTTTATACTGATGTGTTTGTGTTTGTACTTTTTATCTCTCCTAATTGGTGTCAAAAGAAGGATTGATCTTAAACATGATGGTTCAGGATAGCATATTTAGTGGAAGTATAAACATACACTGATATTAGGAAAGTTGATTGCTGTATTTAAATAGAACCAAGAGGATTCCTCATCCCCCCCCCCGAAAACCCCTTTGAAAAGGACTGAAAAATTACTCAAGAGCATTTTTTTTTTTACAATAAGTATGTATAGGATATGTATCCTGTATTGTGCTATCAGTCAGGGGCCAGAAACTGAAATTTTATTATATAGATAACAAATTGTTCGAAGGGCTGAAGGAGCAAATTCTGCACTTGGCCTAGAAGAGTGACTCCACAGTTACAGAGCTGCTGGTCAGACAAACTTCTGCCTCTTCTGCAAGAAACAGTTGCTGCCACCGCTGCACCACACTTCCTGCATATGTCTGTACCAGCAAGAGTAAAGCCTGACGAGAAGCCCTTTCCCTCACTTCATCCTCCCACGCCTCTCAAGCATGTGCCCCTAATTGGTGGAACTTAATTTGAATCAAAGCTGTGTGGAGGATCTAGGAATTGTAATTTGGGTCCAAGTATTAATAGGTAGAATGAGAGTCACAAAGGTCAATCTAAACTTTCTACCAAGTACATAAACCCCAAGTCCAGTGTCCCTGTAGTTTAAAAAGGATGAGTGGTAGAGAATTCCGCAATATTTTGAATGAACTGTCACTTTCCTCTAACATTGCCATCAATAAATAAACTTTTAATAAGACCTCAATCTTATGTGACTTGGGTTCTTTTTTCTGTTTAATGAGTTTATTATGGCCCATGATTTAAATGCCAAGGATATATATTAACAGTTAAAGGTTATATTTAAGTTTAGTTAATACTTTAATATTTTTGAGGATACACAAAATGCCTGTCAACTGCTTGATAACTCTAAAATTTTAAACAGCTGACCAAGATGAGCATTATCTATTTCAAGGTCATTCTTAAAGATAATCATGAAATCAACTTATTTCATAGCCATGAGAGTTATGAACTTTCTTTGTAATTCTCATCATGTATGATATATTCCTTAAATGCTTATAATATTTCAGACCTTGATATGAAAATGTCAGTAGTATCCTCAAGGGAAAAAAAAGCTAAATATAGCTCCCCCAGCATTGTCCTTTCTATTACAGCCCCAAAACATCTGCTTTCCCTGATTTTTTTTTCCTTTGTAAAGTAGGTTGGTAAGATATGAATAAAAGGCTTAAATAAAGTCAGGGCAGTTTATACCTATACTGTCTGCATGCTTTTGGTTTACTGAAGCCTTATGATATTTGCAACCACTATAGATAGTTTGCATTTAAGAGAAAAATAGAAAATAGAGACAAAGAGACTGTTGAACTGTAATATGATTGTTAGCTTAAGTAATGGTAGTGTTCAGGATTAGAAGTTGGAAGGAGTGTGATGTTTTCTTTTAATGTGACACTTTGGGGTTGTTGTTTTTGTATGTCAGATAGGTACTTTTTATGATTATGATGAGTCTGCATTTGAAATTCCCTTGAATTTTCTGTTTGTATTAGAAAGAATTCATCTCAAAGAACTCTAAAAACGAACCGACTTAATTTTATTTTAGAGCATTGTAAATCCAAGGCTACACTGTAAATACTCGAATGGAATCACTTCAGAGACAGAATTTCTTCTAGCACCATTTTTTAATCCCTCATTTGTTAGTATTAGTTCATTCATCTGTATTAACAAATACAATTTTTAGCACTGGATATTACTTTTAAATATGCAGTTTTAAAGGTGTTTTATTTTGTAAAATCTTATAAAATATGAAAAGATCCCTTAGATGGATTTGCCTTTTTCTTAAAGGTAATAAATATTTATTGCTTTACAAGAAAAGCTATGAAAAAACTTTGTTACTTTGCTTACCTAATCACGTGCTATTTCCAACCATACTACGGTCAAATGTCTTAGTGGTGAAATGTTTTCCAGCTGATCATAACTCACACTTTTCTCAGAACTTATATCTTGATTGTTGGATATCTGCTACATCACTAAAAAAGTTTATTTTGTGCTATTTTGATTTCTGATGAGCATATAAAATACTTTTTCAGAAGAAAAATATGTGGGAAAATATCAGAATTACATTTTTTTCTGCTGTATTGACTTTTAAAATGTCAATAATGGCACATGCTTTAATCCATTCATTTTTCTTTGTCTTCCCAGGTGGATCTCCTTACTTAGCATCCAAAATAAATGAAGCAAAAGACTTGCTAGAAGCAACCACCAAACATTAATTGGTGCTCAAGGAATACACTAAAGAAAAAGAAATGCAAGACTTTAAAAGCCCTGCAAATTAGTGTGAACTATGGTCTGAAGTTTCATATTGACCAAATCCTTTCTTTCATCATTAAACTATGCAACAATAAAAGATGAATAGCCTTGTTTTTTATTTCCTTTTAAAAGAACCTCATAAATTCTGTAGCAGTGCTTTGTTTTGTAGTTATGGGGGGTATGTGTGCGTGTGATAGCGATATTACACTTTTAAAGACTTCTGTTACATTAGCCCTAACCCCATGCCTCAGACTCATGCAGAAAGTTTGACCGTCAGGAATGTCCTGGGGTTTGTGAGCAGAGTAGGAACTTTCTTTGCAGTGCTCGTGTTTATATTCTCACTGTCCCTTGCTTGTTTAGAGGATTTGAGGACTCTGCCTATGTAAGGTGCTTTAAATGTTCTGAGACTAAATAGTGGCTGCTACCTCCTGGGGAAATGATCTAATGTGTAATGTCATTTACTAAATGATGACCTGTGAAGTAGTGATTAGAACTTATTAAAGGACTCTGCTCTCTCTGAGACCATATAGCTGAAGCATGAGGACTTGGAGAGCCACTAAAATGATTAAAGATTTGTAAAATGAGCCCTGTGAGGAATGGCTGAAAAGAGCTGGGAAAAGTCTAAGGTGGTTGTATTTAATTATAGTCTTCCTATGCTGTATATTTATTCAATTATTCATTCTTCTAATATTTATTGACCCACCTATGGTGTGCAAGGCACTGTAGTGGGCTCTCGGAGAGAAGTGTGGATCAGTCATGCATCCTGATGCAGAGGAAGTTACGTAGAGAGAAAAGATAAATCACATAAATAATAACTATCAGACAGGTACAGATTATAGGCTAAAGAATGTTTTAAATCTCAATGCTTGGGAAAAGTCTTCCTGGAATGAGTGATACAGCACTGGGTTTTTAACAAAATCAATTCAAGATACCATTTAATTGGTGAGTTAGTCTTGTTTCTCCCGAGATCAGAATTAGCAAAAATACACATAAATGAATCATACCTAGTAAGGTCATTGTAGGAAATAAGGTGTATAAGTAATTTAGTCATGTAGCAAGTACTCAGTAAGCTATTCTTTTACTGCCCCCATTTAATTGATTTTATCTTTTAGAATACATTGGATTAAGATTTGAGATATATTCCAATAATTATTTATTTTACTCTTGAATGTGACTTGGGAAGGATTATTGGCATCCATGCAGCATCAACTGAGGCTGGAGGAACCACTTCATGGGGCTGCACCTTAGAACTGGCTGTTGGTTAGACCCGTAGCCCTTTTACATGGAGAACATAGGGCTGCTAGAGCATCCTCACAACAGAGCAGCTGTGCTGTAGGAGATAGTTGTCCAAGAAACAGGAAGTGGAAGCTACTCACCTTGTCTTGGGTCTAGAAACTGTAAGGGTATCCTAAATCAATGATCAAAGAGTTACAGAGCCTACCTACATTCAAAGTGGAGAGTCCTTTGTGTCTTTTTAGGGAGGCCTGTGAAAGAATCGGTAGTCCTTTTTAGCATTTAGAAGGGCAGGGTGGGAGGATTTTACCCCCTTTATTAAATCATCTTAAGGCATTAAAAATTCAGTCATGCAGGTGTGGTGGAGTACCTATAATCTCAGCTACCTAAGTGGGTTAGACAAGAGGAGTGCAAGTTCAAACCAGCCTGGGAAATTTAGCAAGACCGTCTTAAAAACAGAAATGAACTTTTTCAAAAAAAGAGTTGGAGATATAACTCTAATAAAGTATTTGCCTAGCATGCACAAGGCCTTGAGTTCAGTCTCCAGTTACATAGTCATGTGTAATTTAACTATAGATCCTTGGAGTACAAGCTCAGGAAGTTTCAGTTGACACAGCTACTACTTTAGGTAGATAATAATTCTCTATCTAAATGGCAGTGTAGTTATAAATTGGATTTTGATCAATCACCTGCCTTCAATTCCTTATCATCTGTAAAGAGCCTTTTTGAATGGTTACCTATCTTCAGTAAAGATTGCTTTTGCTTATTTGCTGTCATTGCATGTTCTGCTTAATTAAGCATGTGGATGCTGCAGTTTCTTTTACATCTTAGGTACGTCTGAGATGAAGAAAGACCCTTTAAAAGCACAACTACTTAACAGAGAAAATGCAGGTCTGGTGAACAGTTAAAGAAGAGCATGGAGGGCCAGTTAGATTGTAGTTAGTGGTACCAGTCTGTAGCATAAAGTCCAATGTGGAAAGAAGTTTAATAAGAAGGAAAGACTGCTGAATGTAGCAGGCATTGTTCCATTTAGTCTTCAGAGCACTTCGGTATGTTGTTTGAAAGACATTTTCACCATTCAGGACAGAAATTACTAAGGCTGAAAAGATGCAAAATACATTCATTGTTAATATGCGTATGTTCAAACTAAGTAGAAAAAATGTTCAATACAGGTGCGTTTGTCCTCATACTTTTTAATTAACAAGAAAATTTAGGAGTTATGCTGCTTATATAGCAAGGCCATTAAAGATGACATTATCCATGTACAGAAAATTTTTGGTTGTCATGGGGAATAAAGAAAAGAGCTTTTTATGACTTATCTTCAACATGTTTCATAATTAGCTAAAGATAGTTTAATGACATTTGTGGGAGCAGATCCTAATGCCAAAAATAAGTTTCTCTGACTCCAGCAACTTGGGATGAGCTGCAGAGTATTTCCAAGGAGGCTGTCTTATTCCATAGAGTGGGAACCACACTGTCCACAGACACCCCACCTCTCCCAGCTGCTGATTTGCAGAAGGCTCTGGCTACAGGAAGATCTGATGAGAGTGAGAATATGTCAGCATCCTCCCTTGCTTCTAATGGAAACACAGCCCAAAGAGTATATTCCTTTAACACTAGATCAGTTTCTACTTGTCAAAAACATTGTGTGACTTAGGAACCAAAATTTTATTTTTCGTGTAGTTATACACATTAGGAAATTAGAATTTGGTCAGTATCATTTATTAGCTGCAAATTTGGGAAAGTTCCCTGAACTCATTTTTATAGGTGGACTCTAAGTGATCTGGATCGTTGCCCACCAGCAGAGAATTGCTAGGCATGATAGACAAAGAAAATGTTCTTTCTAATGACTTTTTATGAGCTGAGTAGCTATTGTTCCCAGTTGAGTGCTCCTTTCCTCTTTTTATTGTTGCTGAGCCAAAGAATTTATAAAAAGCCCCTTTTTTATTATTAAAAATCCTATTTCAATTGAAATTCAAATTCATTAAGTTTTGTTCTCTACCTTCCATAGTAACCCATACCCCTCTTATCTCTACAACAGTGCCTACCTGCACTGGTCAACATTTTAAGTCTGAGCAGGCTTCTGCTAAGACCTGGTATGCTAAAGGTCAAGGAACAATATAATTTTCATAAACCAAATATTGTTTTAATTTTTTTAAAATTTTACATGTATGAGTGTATTGCCTGAATGTATTTAAGTGTACCCGTGTTGTGCAGTGAGTGTGGAGGTCAGAAGAAGGTGTCAGATTCCCTGGAACTGGAGTTACAGATGGTTGTTAGCTGCCATGTGTATGCTGCGAATCCAGCCCAGGTCCTCTGCAAGAGCAACCAGTGCTCTTAATGACTGAGCTATCTCTCCAGCCCCGAAACCAAATATTTTAATTATAGTTAATATTTGTTAAACACCTATGCAAATATTCTACCTACATTGTCTTTTAATTTTTATAGCTATACTAAGAGATTGTTGCAACTATTATTGATTTTACAGGTGAAGAAACAAAGGCTTAAAAGGAGTTAGGAAACTTTCCAGATTACAACTCTATTTTAAAGATGGGAGTGGGTTCCCAGTTCAGTTTGGCTTGACCTTGAAGCACATGCACCAAGTATGTGGAAAGCAGGCAAGTAACAGGGTTTCTATCACTTTTGGCTCACTCTTGTAACCTTGGATCATGATTGTGAAAAAAAAAAGACATATATGGAAGGATCCAGAGTCATTGTGCATCACAAGCAATGGGTAGCTAACATCTGTAATTCTGCCCTGAAAACTTGTGGTGTTCTAATTGCACATAGCAAAGTTGCAGCTGTAAAGTTTAACAGTGTGGATTTCTCTGGCTCAGAGGGTCTATAGAAATCTCTGATGAGATTTCATTTGAAGCGTTTTGGTGAGAGTGTCGCGAGCCGGGACTCTGTCCAGCAGAGTCCAGGAAAGACGACACAGACACCAAGGTGAGGTTCAAGCTTCTATTTCTCTTTCTTCCTTTATTCTCTCTTATTCTCTGTCATACATTCTCTCTCACTATGATGCTGTCTCCTACCTCTGTCTGTCTCTCTGTCTCCTCTGTCTGTCTCTGTCCTTATGATGCTGTGTTCCCCATGATGCTGTCTCCTACCTCTGTCTGTCTCTCTGTCTCCTCTGTCTGTCTCTGTCCTTATGATGCTGTGTTCCCCCTATTACACACTTCAGCTCTTTATATAGCGTTTCCAACAGCCCTCCCCCCAGCCGGTACCAATCAGGGCTCACACACGTGCAGCGGCCAGGCAGAGTGTAGCTCATAGGCACGTAGCAAGATCATCAGGCTGGCAGCACCTGTTTTGGGGCTCACCATACTTCAGAGTTGGGGTAAAAAAGCGGGATTCACGAGCCTTGGCAATCAGCCAAGAGTTGAAGTAAACAGCACGAGGTTTGGCAGCCAGCCAGGGC